AGAGAGAGAGAGAGAGAGAGCTTCTTCCCCATACTCTCCGACGTCATTCCCTTCTTCAGGATGGAAAGTTACTCCATTTTGATCGCAAGCAAAAACGGGAGCTCGCTGTATCTCTCTTATACGCGGTTCTTCGGCCAAATCCTTTGGGAGAGAGAGTTAAAAAAACGCATGTGCGAGAACCCAAAAAACAGCGAGTCGGGTCGGCGTCTTTTCTTCTTGCTACGTGGAGCTAATACATTGGTGGCCGAACGTAGAGGAACGTACGTTCACCGGACCAAATAAAAGTTCCACTTTGGGAGACGCTTCCCAATCCTTGATATTGTAGACGGGAGCATAATTGAAACAAGCAATCTACATGTCATGTGCCATTTGAGGCCTAAGATCCGTTTGGACAATAAAATAACTAGCACTGAACCAAGTCATCATTATGGTATCCTTCAGTTTATGGATCCTATTTGTTTTATTTGTCTGAGATCAAGGCTACACCCGGGAAAGGAATTTTTTTACTAATGTGAGGCCTTCCATGCCAATTCCCATGGACATGATTGTTGCTCTTGACACTCTATGACCATCACATAAGTAGTTGTGGGATAGTTAACCTTCTTTCAATTTTCCTCAAGTAGGGGGTAGAAAGAGCCATCTTTCTTTAGCAAGCGGGCTTCTGTGAAGTTTGAAAATTATTGTTGCTCTTTATTGTTGTGCTTGAGTTTGGTTGGTCTCATTTAACTAGCATTTCACATTTCATTTTGCCTTTATTTAAGCAAGAGTTTCTATAATTGAGTTAATTTGATGTAAAACCAACCAAGAATTGCATGGAATTAATAAAAGTCTTGCGAAGCGAGCTACTTTAAGATTAATGAGTCATAAGGCATGATCATAAGACCTGGATCCAAACTTTGCAGCTCATCCCGCTCAATCCACGTGTCCTCTGTTACCGGCTTTCCTTCCCAACGAACCAAGTACCTTTGGCGCCCACCATCTTTAGTGGAAATGATTTCATCGTCAAGTATAGCTTCAACCTTCTCTGCATTAGGTAAATGAGATAAATTGGGGAGTGGAGATATGTTAGGGATCTAACTGGGTGGGTTCACACAAGTCTCATCATGTAGTGGATTAATAGGGTTAAACTCAGGTCCCTCAAAGGTTACTAAACCTTCAATATTAAACGTAAGATTTATATTAAAACCTTTGGGAAGGTCTAGCACATAAGTATTACTGTTTACTTTTGAAATTATCTTAAAAAGCCCTGCACTCCTAGCATGCAACTGTTTAACGGCTCATTGAGGGAAACGTTCTGGACGAATCTGTACCATTACAAAATCTCCAATTTTAAATTCTTTAAATCTTTTCTTACGATCATCATTAAGTTTATAGTGAGCATTGCTTTGTTGAATTCTTTTATTGATTTCCTTATGCAATTCTTGGAGATGAGATGCGAA